GTGGGGTGGGCGGCTGGGCGGGAGTAGGATGCAGCTGGAAAAACATCAGATGGGCTGCCATTCCCGGGCCGAGCTTGCTGGGCCCCGCTGGCTGCCAAGGCTCAGAGCCGGGAGCGCAGTGGGTTCTTTTGAAGCGTGAAGGGCACTTGTCAGCCCTGAGAAACGCGTGGCCTGTGGAATTCCAATAGCCTCACACCCCCTCTGCTACCCAGCTGTGATTTACAGGTCTAATTGTTCAGGACTCAAAGTACCCAATACATGAACTGGGAGTGTTCAAGGATGGAGAAGAACTGTTCTTATTCAAACCACATCTTATGACTGGGAGAGCACAGTCTGACTTTGTGGGGAAGCGATCAATCGTGGCCTGGGCCACCCCTTGGCATTCCCCTGGGGCTGGAGCTGGCTGTTCCTACACCCTCAGGCAGTAGGAAGTGGGCACCTCATCTGAGCCAGGGCCACCAACTCCGTGGTGAGAACCATTTCTCTAGGGTTAAGGTCATATTCACAGTCTGAGCTCAAAGGACAAGCCGATAGGCGGGAATCTGGAGGGAATGCTGGACACAGTTCACTGCCCACGTGGTGGCTAAGGGTGATGGGAGAAGGACGGGGCCGTGGAGTGCACCATCGGGACTGAGAGCAGACTTGGATTCAAATCCCACCCCTGCCATTGCTTACCAGCTGTTTCGCTGGGGCCAGCAATTTAGCCCAGTTTCCACCTCTGCGGTGTGAAAGCAATTATGATGCTCAACTTGAGGACAGAGGTTGAATGAGATGGCACAGCCAATGCATACAACAGGCACTTATTTATTTATTTATTTTGTACTAGGCATTGAACCCAGAGATGCTCTACCATGCAGTCATATCCTCCACCCTTTTTTATTTTTTATTTTGAGACAGGATCTTGCTAAATTGCTCAGGCTGGCCTCTAACTTGAGATCCTCCTGCTTTGCCCTCCAGAGTTGCTGGGATTACAGACACCTTGCCTGGAGCAACAGGCACATATTAAGTGTCCGCGATATGCCTCTAGTAATAGCGTATGTTCTGATAATAGTTGGCGTGGGGATGGGGGCCCACGGAGCCGTGAGAACTGTGCTGAGGTCCCTGAACACAGAATGTTTGTCCCGAAGCTGACTCTATCAGTGCCTGTCCCTATCAGTAGCTCCGTCTTCAGCAGATTTCAACATTATTACTATTATTTTTTGGTGGCATAGGGATTGGACTCATGCGAGTTACGCACTCTACCATTGAGTTACATTCCCAGACCTTTTTATTTTGAGACAGGGTCTCACTAAATATCTCAGGCTAATCTCCAATTTGTGATCCTCCTCCCTGAAACTCGTAGCTGGGATGACAGGCAGGTACCACCACGCCCAGCTCAACATCATCATTTTTATTTTGGTACTGGAGATTGACCCAACCCAGGGACCATTTACCACCAAACCACATCCCCAGACCTTGTTATTTTTTATTTTGAGTCACGGTCTCTCCAAGTTTGGGTCTCACTAAGTTGCTGAGGCTGGCCCCGAACTTGCAATCCTCCCACCTCAGCCTCCTGAGTTGCTGGGATTACAGGTGTGCACCACTGTGCCCAGCAGGAATTATAATTTTTAACATCTATAGAATATTCCAATGACAGTGTGATCCAGACTTTGATAGGGACACAAAGTGGTATATTCGAATCAGAACAGGCTTTGACGACAGACATGTTCAATCACTTAGTTGGGCCTGGTGTGTGCTACACCACCACTGAGCTGCACCCCTGGCTTAGGCAATATTTTCTGAGCACCAACTTTGGACCAGATGGGGAGCTCTGTGCTGGCCACACAGATGGAGAAGATAAAAGCAGGCCTGGCCTTATAGAGCTGTACCTGGAGGAGAGGTAGTCAAGAACTAGACCTGAGTTGAAGTCCCTAATTGTGTGATTTAAAACAAATCACCTAGCTCTCCTGAGCCATTCTTTCTTCAAATATGGAAGGTCCTGGTGGAGTATTCTAAGTACAGTCTGTAGCCAACAAACATTAGTTTTCTCTTCCAAGCACTGCTAGTTTACTTAATCCGTGTTCTGTTGCTCTAACTGAATGCCTGAGGCCTGGAATTTTATAAAGAATGAAGGTTTATGTAGCTCATGGTTCTGGAGACTAGGAAGTCCCAGGTTGAGGGACTACATCTGCTAAAGGCCTTCTTGCCGGTGGGGACTCTGCAGAGTCCCAAGGTGGCAAAGGGCCTCACGTGGCGAGAGGGGTTTGCAAGAGACAGAACCAAATTGGCTTTGATGAAGATCCACTCTCAAGACAACTCATTAATCCATTAATCCATGGATGGATTAAGTCATTCCCCAGGGCAGAGTTCTTATGACTAATCACTTCTTAAAAGTCCCGCCTCATCCTACCTCTTAATTCCTGACAATGGGGATTAAATTTCATCGGAAGTTTGGGTGGGGACCTTCGAACAATAGCAGTTTCAAATCATCTTTCATATTCTCGTTTGCCTTCATGGCCATTACAACCCTGAATATCTCCCTAAATGTCATCTGTTTCTTCTTTTGGGGGATGGAGTGATTTATTCCTCATGGGGTGAGTTATATGCTGCAGCTAAATAAGTTTTCCTAAACCTTCTGCTATTCGGTGTCCACGGGTCAGGGTGGTGGAAAGAGCCTCTGAACTGGTGGCCAGAGGTCTGAACAAATAAGCCACCCAAACTCGGCAGGCCTGGGTCCCTCCTGGGGGTCTGTGCTGTTGGGCTGTGTGACCTCCCGGCTCAGGGTTTGTTTATTATACTTCTTCCCAAAGAGCACTCAGTCTGTGAGAGCCAAGATGATGTCTGCTTGAGGCCTGGGACAGTGCCTAGCACATAGTAGGCTCTCCATAAAAATTTGCAGCATCAGTGCATAGAGACTGGACAAGACCATTCACATTCTTACCATATTTGCTGGTGTCTGGAGACAGCCACAAGCTCGTCCAATTAAGGGAGAGGAATAACCTTTGGAAACTGGATACCGCACCTTATTTGGGTGGAAGGCCGTCCAGGACCTTGGCTGGGCTGTCTGCCTGTGGGGGCTGGGGCCGGGGAGGAAGTAGTTCCTCTCTGCCAAGCTGCAGCAAGAGGCTAATGGCCTCCCCGGGAATCCAATCCAATTAAGAGCCTGGCTTCAAGTCAACTCGGGTTCCCTTCCTGGCTGGAGCAGCTTCCCAGTGACCAAATGTAACTTCCCCAAGATGAGACGTCTCACAGGGAGCAGGGCCAACAGGGGCCCAGGGTAGGGTTTCTGCTTCCAGGGGATCAGATCTGCCTGGCTCCCAAATGCTTTTAATGCTGGGGGGCTGGGGGCGGTGGGGAGGCAGACCTGGGGGACAAGGGCAGGCACACTGGGTGCAGAAGCTGGATCTTGGCGCTGCCCATGAGGACAGCAGAGCAGGAAGCTGCCAGGTAGCGTGAAGGTGTCCCAGGCAGAGCCAGGAGCTCTGCTTCTGTCCTACAGGGAAGGACACCAAGTGGGTGGGGAGGATGCTGGCGTGTGCTAGGCACCCGCTCGGGTGCTCTGTCACTGAGCTACACCCTTGACCTCTTTTCTTTTTTAAACCAATTTTTAGGTAGATATTACATACACATGTGCCAAAAGTTACCAGTGACCTAGTTCCCCTTTCTGGGTGTAAGCACTGTTACCAATTTCTCTCCCCTCCAGAGAAAAGCGGATTTGATATGAAGTTATTCCAAGGTGATATATACATATGTCAATGGCTGGGATTGTGGCTCAGGGATAGAGTACTCACCTGGCATTCGATCCTCAGCATCACATAAAAATAAATAAATAAAGGCATTATATCCATCTATACCTAAATTTAAAAAAATTTAGATGAACAATAAAAGACCTAATATAGTTATATTTTTTAATTTCCCTGTCCAAGAATAGAAAATGCCTTTATGTATTTTTKTGTGTGTGTGTGTGTGTGTGTGTGTGTGTGTGTGTKCGGGGTACAGTGGCCCACGCCGCCTGTAATCCAGCTGCTTAGGAGGCTTAGGTAGGATCTAGTTCAAAGCCAGCCTCAGCAATTTAGTGAGGCCCTACACAACTCAGTGAGACCTTGTCTCTAAATAAAACATAAAAAGGTCTGGGGATGTGGTTAAGTAACCCTGGGTTCAATCCCTGGTACAAAAGGAAAAAAAAAATCTCCAAATTGTTATAAAGTTGTTTTTTTTCTCCAAGTGAAACATACACATATTAATATATTTTCATATTTCTTAGATTTTATATATTCTTGATCGTTCGTAATACATGAGATCTTCCATTTATAATTCTAAGTGATAGGGCTTTAGTTTAGTTTTGTTTTTATTGGTAGTTTTTTTTTTTTTTCCCAAGATAAATTCAAAAGGTTTATGGCACCGAATGCCACAGAAAAATTGATCCAACTAATACATGAACAAGTTTTTCAGAAAAATTTTCCACATGTTGACATTGGAATCTATTCAGCTCATCAAAATTATAAAGTTCCATCAATTTCTCTTAACGGACTTTCAATAACAACCCCCAGAATTTTCTCCTTATCTACCTCAAATTTAAGCATATTGCAATCTCACTTCCTAGATCTATGGATCATCAAATTTCGACATTTAAAAGTGAACATTCAGGGGCTGGGGCTGTAGCTCAGTGGTGGGGTGCTTCCCTCGCATGCGCGAGGCACAGGGTTCGATCCTCGGCACCACATAAAAGTAAATAAGTAAAAATAAAGATATTGCGCCCATTGATAGCTAAAAATATATGTTTTTAAAAAAGTTAACATTCAGAGGGGATGTTTGACTTAAGCAGAAATTATATTAAAATATCCCCTCAAGTAGAATTAAACAAAACAAATGGTTCGCATTAACTGAGAGAAGCAAAGACTTTTTTCATTTAATGGTGAAAATATGCAAGAATGAAATGCTCCCAAAAGAACAAATTCGTGGAAAAATTCAGACATTTAAAAGAACTTGGGGGTCACTTTATATTTTTTATATACAAGTAACTCTAGTGAAGACTCTTCATGAATTTGCATGTGGTCCTTGCACAGGGACCATGCTAATCTTTGTGTCATTCCAATTTTAGTATAAGGGCTGCTGAAGCGAGCACTGGTGGCTATTGACCCCGTGGGCGGTTTACCACGGAGCTATACCCCCAGAACTTTTCATTTTTTATTTTGAGGTAGGATCATGCAAAGTTACTGAGGCTGGCCTCCAAATTGAATTCCTCTTGCCTTGGCCTCCCGAGTTGCTGGGATCATAGGTGGGTGCCACTGTCCCCAATGCCAATCCGATAATGAGGACATGGTTTTGAGAAAAAGGAAAAGGAAGGTTTATTGTTTAGCTAGCAAAGGAGAAACACAGAGGACTCCTGTCCCAGAGGCTGTGATTCTGCTCATCAGCAGGAACAGGGGGCTTTTAGAGAGGTGATTCAGAGAAAATGAGATTAGGGAGCAGAGATTAGGGAGAAGATCAGGGAAAAGAAGATCAGGGAGGAGAAGGTCAGGGAGAAGAAGTTGGAAAAAATAGAAAAAAACATGTAAGTTTCAAAGCCACAAGGGATCTAGCTAAAGCATCAAGTGAACCCCTGTCTCACCACCAGCTATGTAGAAAAGTACTGTTAAAAAACAAACAAACAAACAAAAAACCCCAGTAACTTTGTAACTTTGTATCTAGTCACTTTCATGAATCTTCTTATTGTTGGTACTTGATTTCCATTTTGTGTTTTTTTTTTTTTGCAGGGGTAAGGGTGGAGTGAGGAGCTAAAGTGAAGACAGCTGATCCCGGGGAACCCTGTGCCTGTGGGTGCTCCGTGGATAGGTTCTTCTTGATGGGAATGAGGACCCTTCCCATCAGTGTACCCTCCTCTCCCTGCCTCAATCTGAACTTCTGAGGGACACATTATTCCCCGTCTCCTTGGAAGAAGAAAATAAGGTGGAATGATTTGTCTGAGCTAGTTGAGGGCAGCAGCGCTGGAATTTGAACTGGGGCATTTTATGCAAAACCTTCTGACCTCAGCACCCTGAGGCAAGAGAGAGGTGGCTGGCGTTGGGGAGGGGCTGTGCAGAAAATGACACTTCCTGAGGGCYTTCGCTGTGCTCCAAACTTTATGTACTCTTTTCTTTTTCTTTTGGTGCCAGGAATTAAACCCAGGGCCTCTCACGTACTAGGCAAGTGCTAGGCAGGTACTCTATCACAAAATCACATCCTGAGTCTTTGTAAAATTTTTATTTTGAGGCAGGGTCCGATATGCCTCAAGCTGACCTGGAACTTGGCCTCAGTCTCCAGAGTAGCTGGGATTACAAGTGTGTGCCCTTGTGCTTGGCTTGTGCTTGTATCTTTTTTTTTTTTTTTTTTTTTTTTGTCCCAGGGATTGAACCAAGGGGTGCTGAACCACTGACCCACATCACCAGCGCTTTTTTTTTTTTTTTTTTGGTGCTGGGGATTTGTGCATGCAAGGCAAGCACTCTAGGAACAGAGCTATGTCCCCAGCCCCTATCACCAGCGCTTTTTATATTTTATTTAGAATCAGGGTCTCACTGAATAGCTTGGGACCTGGCTAAATTGCTGAGGCTGGCCTTGGACATGAGATCCTCCTGACTCAGCCTCCACTGGGATTACAGGTGCCTGCACCATCAGGCCTGCCTGTATCATCTTTTTTAATGCTTGTAAGAACTCTGTGAAACTCGAATTACGAGCAAATGGCTAGCCAAGAGAAGGGCAATAAAGACAAAGATATTCGGTTTTAATTATAGGTTCTGCCACTAACCAGCTGTGTGACCCTCAGCAAACCACTTAACTTCTCTGAACCTCAGTTTTCTCTACTCTACCCTTGTTATAAATGGTTCCCAGATGGTCTTTCCCTCCATGAAATTTCATCCACAGGGGCTGGTGGCCAGGAAGAGCATCTCTGTCCACAGGCACTCTATGTCTAGGGCCGAGGAAAGCAGAACTGAAACGTGCCTCCAGTTCTTGTGTTTGTTCAGTGACTCGTGTCTTCCAGGGGAGCCCAGATCTATAGGGAAGCTGGACAGGCTGATGCTTCTGTAAATAGCACGTTCAGGTTAAGCTTTAGCCAAACTTAACGGGTGTGTCAATTAACAGAATTTTATAGGACCAAATTCATGTCACAAGGACACGGTTGGAATTCAAAGCCACATTGAATTTTCCACAGCCAAGTTGATGGCCATCACTAAAGATGAACCAAGCCCTGATTTCGTGATAGGTGTAGTGAGTGAGAGAAACCCCATCTGGAACGTAGGAGTGGGAGACTAAGAGGCAGCGCTCGGGATCTATCGTTTATTTCTATCAGTCTGATTAGATGGAGCAGGAAGCTTCTTGGAGCAGGGGACTGTCCGGGTTGGGCCTTGAAGGATATGTGTGAGATTCCCTTCTCTACACCCAGTTAGCATGCGACATGGTGGAGAGCAGCAGGGCTCCCAGAGGGTCCTGGGTTTGAATCTGGCTCCACCTCTGCCCAGCTGAATGACTAGGGTAAGTTGTTCTCTGACCTGAAGTTTCCTTATTTGTAAAATGAGAACAGTGAACACTATGCTTGTGAAACACCATGATGAACAGACATGATCGGATATGAAAGCACCTGGCGAGGTGTCCGCCAGGCAGTGGGGCAGCCCAGAGACTGGTGGACAGGAGGGTATAATACCCACAGCGAGTGCTGATGAAGCTCTCCCTCCAGCCAGGGTCCTCACACACTTGACATTGATTTATCAATGATCCTATTAAATAGGTACTAATCTTAAACCCATTTTACAGATGAGAAACTGAAGCTCAGAGGATAAAATAACAGGCAGATGACAGAAGCAGGACTGGAACCTGAGCAGTTTGACCCTAGAGTCCACGTGCATAGCACCTCCCACCTCTGCTGAAATCGCTGACACTGGGGTTGGTACTGTCAGTGTGAGGGACCATCTAGTCAGAGGAAGGAGCTGGGGGGTATGTCACAATGGGAGGCTTACGGGAGGGAGGGGTCCTCTGTCTTTGGAGAACCTGGTCCCTTGTGAAGTGCTAATCATGAAGAAATACAACCTGTAATACAGCTTCTTGGGAGGCTGAGGCTGGAGGATTTCAAGTTTGAGGCCAGTCTGGGCAACTGAGTGAGACCTTGACTCAAAAATAACTAAAAAGGGCTGGGGATGTAGCTCAGCAGTAGAGCACTTGCCTGGCATGCGTGAGGTCCTGGGCTCAATCCTCAGCACCATAGATAAAAACAACACACAAACCACCCTGGTTTCCCACACCGGGGGAGCAGGACTGTCCTCCCGTAAGCCAGGGGCAAATGAAACCAAAGCTCAACATGGCACAATCATTCATTTCTAAATTCGAGCTGTTCTATGAGCCAGGAACATAGAACAAAACCCAACAAAATTCTCTGCCCTAAAGGAGTTTATATTCCTGTGTGTGTGTGTGTGKGKGGGGGGAAGGCAGATAAGAAGCAGGCAAATAAGCAAAATATATATTAGAGGATGTAAATGTTAAGGAGAGAAAGAAAAGGGAGGGAGGAGTAAGAGAGAGCAGTTTGCAATGTTGCATCGGGTGGGATTTGGGAAGATCACTCTGAAAAAGGCAATATTTGAGCAAAGACCCGAAGGAGGCTAGGAAGGGCAAATGCGAAGGCCCCAAGGCAGCAGCACGCTTGGTAGGTTCAAGGAATAAATAGCAAAGAGGCAGGTGTGGCTGGTGTGGAGAGCAAAGGGGACAGAGTAGAGATGAGGTAAGAGGGGTGTGTGGGGAAGAGAAAGCATCTCCACCCATCTTTGAAATTTCTGTGTGTTATAAAAACAAACAGGAGCATAAGATGCAAACTAGGCTTGCATTTCAAAGCCAGAGGGAGATGTTAATGCAGTGTTCTGGGAGCCTCCCTGCATAAACATCCCTTCAACCTCTCTCCAGACCAGCTTTCCCCATGGATCTGAGACTCATGGGGGTGGAAATTGGAAGCCAAGTTGGAACTGTGATCAGTTTTCTAACAGGCTCTGAGCCTGAGTCTTTGCTCCTCCTGCTAGGTCATCTGCCGACCAGATGCCACGAGGCCAGCCTGGGGCTACAGACACAGACAGGTGGAGAGTCACTGGTCCAAGCTGCATTTGACAAACCCTCAGCACACCTGAAGCCGGGCCAGCTGGGGCCTTCTTTGAGGTTCCAGTGGGATCCTTCCTTTTAGGCTTGGATCATCTTTGAACTGGTTCTCACTTGGGTTCGTTCCTTTTCAGGCAGAGCTGAAGGGGAAGACTGGACAGAACTTTAAGGCAGTTCACGATTCCATGAAAAATTAACACCAAGTTCAGTTCAGAGTCCAGCAGTCACTTCAGTTTGTTTTTCAAGCCCAGATCTAAGGGGTGGCCTCCTGGCATTTATTACTTTTTGACAAACAAGCTGATCATAGAGAGAGTGGATATGATGCCACCCAAGTCCACAGGGGTGGATAGGGACAGCACAAGGACCAGCGCAGGTAACAACCATCCGGACAGCACGGGACACATGGGAAGGCGAAGTAACTCACCTACCATCTACTGGATAATGAAAACAAACTTAGGGATTTTAATGACATTTCTGTGTCAAGATGTGAATGTAAGTAGTCCAATTTTAGAGGTGTTGTTTCCAATTACCTGAATATATCATCCCTTTAACAGAGTCCTCCAAGAACATCTGGGCAACTTGCTTTGGGCTGGCAGAGGGGAAAGTTGGAAGGTTTCACTGTATTTTCCTGCATATATTCAATTTGTTCAAAGATTCTAATATGTGCTGTGAGCTAGGAATGTGGAGAGCCCCCACCTGCACCCCGTGTCTGGCCCTTCTGGAACTCAGTGATCAACCTAACCTGGGATGTCCAGTATAAGAGCTGTGAGTCAAGCCTCATGGAAAGTCAGAAGAGAGCCCAAGTTTCCAGAAGAGGTGACATTTGCCCCAGGGGTTCAATAGCAGCAAACCAAGGCCAAGTGCCTATCACGTGCCTGTTTCAAAGAATTCTGGCCCTTGCCCTCAAGGCCTTAAGACCCAGGGCAGTTTTTCCAGTTTGAAGACCACTTACTTCAGAATTGTTCAGGTGCTTATAAAAATGTGAATTTCTCTCCTCTCCTGAGAATCTGAGAATCAGATAAAGCAGGGCTGAGTGTTGTACCCAGGTGTTTCTGATGTACACTCAAGTTTGCCAGGTGAATGTGGGAAAGCAATGGGTCTGGTCGGGGATAAATAGGAGTCCTGGCTCCAGCACCAAGGGTGCAGTTCGACTGCAGCTCTGGCAGGAGAGGGATCCTGTTCCACGGTCTATCCCCCCCACCTCAGAGCCTGAACACCCTGCGACCTCACGATGCCTGTGAATATGCTGATTTCCAATACAGAAGAGACCCAAAAGTCAAAAAGGAAAAAAAGAAGTCGGAGGAAGAAAAAAGTATTTCTAAGGAGATGAAAACTCCGAAAAGTTTTCGTAGAAAAGGCAGCTCCACCTAACACTGGGAGCAGGGGGGTGGCCGCTCCGGGAAAGGGCGATGAGTAGTGGAGTGCAGCGGGGGAGAGGCTGGCAGGCGCCTCCTCGCTTCCCCAGGCCGGCCGAGGCATGAGGTCACCTGGAACCGACCCAGCAGCAGCTGCTCAGGACGCGCTGGCGCTTCGGAGGGAGGCGGTGTCAGGCTCCGACACCGGGTGGAATTTCCCTCCCGCCCCTCAGGAGGCGTGGCTTGAAGGCCCGCCCACCGCCGGCCTCAGCCAGCGCTTAGTACCGCTTCACCAAGGCCACACCCCGAGTCTAGGCCACGCCCCTTAGCCGCCTCCCGGCCTCCGAGTGGACCCTTCGCCTCAGCTCGGATGAGGCCACGCCCCGCGAGCTCCGGCCGCCCCCATTTCCCTCGGAGAGTCCCGCGGCGCCGGGCCTTGGCCCCGCCCCCGACCTAGGCCCCGCCCCGGAGCCCCGCCCCGTGGTTTGAAGCTGCTGGGGCAGCCGCCGCCTCCAAGTCGCGCGCGGGGCGTGGGGCGGTGCTGAGGAGCTGAGGCCGCGGCCAGCTCGACGCCGGGACTGTCCAGCGAGTGCAGCGCGGCGGGAGCCGGCAGTCAGAGTAGCCTCGGAGCAGGACCGCAGTCGCGCCGCCGTTCGCGGAGCCCAGCCGAGCCGGCCATGGCGTTGTCGATGCCGCTGAACGGGCTGAAGGAGGAGGACAAAGAGCCCCTCATCGAGCTCTTCGTTAAGGTGAGCGCTCGCCCGCCGTCCCGCCCCGCAGCCGCGGCGCCCGAGGCCCCCGAGGCCCCCGAGGCCCCCGCCCCCGGCCGAGGCAGCTCTGCGGGTCCCGCGCCCTCGCCCATTGTCTCGGCACCGAGCCTTCCCGCCTCCGGGGGCCGTCGAGGGGGCCGGGCCCGGGGCGCGCGCGGGGCCGCGCGGGGCGAGCGGGCGCAGCCAGCAGCCAGTATCCCGGCGGTGGAGGACCCTCGGTGGTCCCGGCCTCCCGGGCGGGCGAGCGACCTGTCACCCGCCCCACCCCGCCCGGAGCCCCCTGCTCCAGCCCCCGTCGAGCGGTGAACTTCCCTGAGCGCGTTTGCAAGGAACCTTTGCGCGCAGCTGGTGGGAAACTGAAACTTCAGTGTTCGGTGCAGTCTTTAAAAAAAAGCAAAAATGATAAAGGGGACAGACGCTCGAGGGCCTCGGGAAGAGACCAAGATTCCCAACTTTGTTTTCCTGCCGTAGGTATTTTACCACCGTCTGCTTTTCTTGTTTCTTAAGCGCAGAGTGTTCCGAATGATGCAACATTTTGGCTGCTCCCCTTGGTGTTGCTGCCTCGGGAAAGAGTGTGTGTGCCCTTTTGTCTTGAAAGAAAAATTGAGTCCATAACTTCTTTGGGGGCTTCAAAGGCTCGATCCCCTCACTCCCGGCTTGTCTCTTCCGCTTGTATATCCTAGAACTACCACTTTTTGCTTACGAATAATATCCGTGCCCCTTCTTCCTTTGTTGTGTTTTTCAGTTTAGCCAAGGGGTATCCAGCTGCTTTTCCTAACAGCCCTTTAAAATCTTTTGAGATTCTCTCAATCACTTTAGAAGCCGGTGTCATCTGGAGCTAGGCAACATGCTGGAAAGTTAGCAGGAATCTAGACCTAGTCTGTCCCTTTTTTCTTCATTTTTTTTTTTTTTTTTAAAGAAAAGACAATGAAGGGTGTGTTTAAGAGATGGGGAGAATACATGATCTGTTAGTGAGCAGAAGCAATGTTTGTTTTAGGATTTTCTTTCAATTATCGGCTTTAGGAATGTTTTGGGCCAGAGAACTGAAAGAACATCTGGGCATAGAACTCCCAGAATATCACAGTCTCAGTTACTTTGAGTGGCACACAGTACTTTGAGGTGCAGAGAATGTAGGAAGAAGCCTGGAGCAAGGGAAGGGAAGAGAGGGGCGGGGAAAGCAGCCCAGAGAAGGGAAGGTCAGAGATTAGTAATTTTTTTTTTTTTTTAACTGAGCTAGGAATAGAAAGGAATTTCTATAAACTCAAAAATAAGTGTATCTACTTATAATGGTGAAAAACATAATACTTAATGGTGAAGCTTTAGAAGCATTATTAAATTTAGAATTGTATAAGGATATTATCAGTTGTGGCTTGTATTCAGTATTGTACTAGAGATCCTAGCCAATAAAATAAGCCAGGAAAGTATAGGAATTAGAAAGGGGTTGGAGGTGTAACTCGGTGGTAGAGCACTTGCCTAGCATTCTAGAGTACTGGGGAAAACAAAACAAACAAGAAATTGGGAAGAGACCAGTACTTAATACTCTGCTTACTGCTGATTTAATCCTTCAGTCAGAAGGAGATGGGTGTGGCAAACTGTTTCCCAAACTATGGTCACTTGCCTACCTATTCCTAGTTTTCCATATTTATGCTGTGAGCCACCTGAAGTCATCCTGCTTATTTATCTTAAGTCTTTCTCACTGGGTTTGCAGGCAGAGAACCAGGATTCAAGGCGTAGTTGAGTGCTTATTGGCTGGATTATGCTGGGCAATTTGTTTTCCCTCATCAAACTTATTTTATTTTTGGTACTCGGGATTCAACTCAGAGGCACTCAACCACGGAGGAGTCACATCCTCAGCCCTATTTTGTATTTTATTTAGAGACAGGGTCTCACTGAGTTTCTTAGCACCTACCTGTTGCTGAGGCTGGCCTTGAACTCCAGATGGTCTTGTTTCAGCCCCCCTAGCCAGTGGGATTACAGGTATGAGCCACTGTGCAAGGTACCTAACTTTTATTTGTGAAATGCTTTTTGCTGGCCTGTGATTCACCATAGGCCAACTTTGCACTGATATAGACCTGGTTTGTAGTTTGAAAGGAAGGAGAACAACAAAAAAAGACAAGTAATGTGGTATTCTCAATTTCTTAAGAGCTATGTGTGGGAAATGCAAATGAGGGAAAATACCCTAATAAATATAGTTGTTTTTCAAAGCAACAAGGCAGTCAGAAGCTGTTATTGTCCAGAGTAGTGTTGATTATTCTGCCAAAAGGTATCCAGTTAGTAACAGAAAATTATCATTTTTTTAAACAGGAAAAGCACACAAAATTTGTTCACATGTCTAAGGCACGAGACTATGGATTCTGTATTTATATCTGAAGCATATAGTAGTGAAATAATGAGAAATCTGATGGTGAGTGGTATTAATGGAGAATTGACTCTACTTGTCTAGGACTCAGCTTGTGTAAGAGGATTGGCCTAGGTCCTTAAAGGGTGTGAGTGGACTCGTCTACCTTTCCTTCATGAGTATTATTTTTGGAGTTGTGTGCCTGTGAGCCCAGTAATTCTTCATCACCTATATAACAACATTCCTTTTTTCAACATTCCTATTTTTTTTAACCCTAACACCTAAAGGGTAGGAACCCTCCTAATAGTTTACCTTAATTTTTAATTTTTTTTACCTGTTTATTTGTGAAGCGGTGGGGGTATCTCTTTATTGCCCAGGCTGACCTGAAACTGTGGGGCTTAGGGCTTACAAGATTCTTAGCCTTCTGAGTATCTGGAACTACAGGCATGAAGCTCAGCCCTCCTACCAGTAAAAGGGGCTTATAGTGGCAGTCATCCTCAACAGTGGAGATGTACTCTCTGCCATTTTAGTTGGGAACTACTGTCCAGTAAGGTAAAGTGCAGACCCTTTAGCAAGGGCATAAAGCCCTTTATAATCTGACTACTCCGGGTTTCTAATCCAGTTTGTCCACTTAACTAATCTTGTGTCCCAAGATACATTACTTCAACCTCTCTCTCTGTGCCATATCCTGAGAGTTGGCCTATTAATAGACCAACCTCAGGGGAACAAATTAATACATGTAGATTGTAGTGATCTTAGAACAGTGTCTGGTGCACAGTAAGCAGAGGCTAGCTGTGTCATTTTGGTATATTGCAGCAGATCTTTCCTACACGAATGCGCCTGGAGCGTAGGGTCTGTGTATTGTTGAGAGTGGCTGGAACTGAAGAGGGTACCAAATGTTTGAAAGGAGATTGCTTCCTCCTTTTAGAGTATTTTATGTCAATGTATATGTTTATCAGTCCTTGGAATTGGAAACCATTACTTATTTCCTGATGTTCTGAGTCACAAACCATAGTCCTTTGTCCTGAATTCTCTAGTCTCTGGTCTGCCACACCTGTGTGACTTTTATCTCCTCACCTCTTCTGTTCTTCTTTATTTAGTACTTTTAGTGTTTTCTACCATATTTTCCACCAATATTTCTTCTTGGCTATATCCAGAATTTGGGATTTTTTTTGGGGGGGGGAGGTACCAGGGGCACTCAACCACTGGAGCCACATCCCCAGCCCTATTTTTTATATTTTATTTAGAGACAGGGTCTCAGTAAGTTTCTTAACATCTCGCTTTTTACTGAGTCTGGCTTTGAACTTGCGATCCTCCTGTCTCGGCCTCCCCAGCCACTGGGATTACAGGGGTATGCCATGCTGCCCGGCTATATCCAGAATTTGAGAATTAAATGTCTGTTTGGGTAAAGATACATATTAACTCTTAAATCACAAAAATGAGAGAAGTTGAGGAGACTGGATTTTTAAATTTTTCTTTTGCTTGTATAAGCCCAGCTCCTGTTGACATTGCTACCCCTTCTACCCTTACTGGTAGGTTTGGTATGATGTGATCTCCAATCTTTGACTAGTTTTTTGGACTGGAATTTACACTTCATGTACTTTTATGAATTGGGACAGTCACTGTCTACAGCATTCAGTAAGCTGTTGGGTTTTGGGGGATGGTTGTAAGAAATTAATCTGGTTTTAGGGTGGCATAACATGTGAGAATAACTTCCTTTTGAGATATTTGGAAGGGATTTCTAATATGCAGGGACCCAGGAGCCAAGACTGCTTTGCTTGTATCTGGCTTTTTATAATATATCTGACAAGTTTCTTAACCTCTCAATGCTTAAGTTTCCTTACTGTCCCCCCTCCCCCACCCCCGCCTGGGGGCGGGTAGTGGTGGTGGTGGTGGTGGTGGTGGTGGTGGTGGTTATGGCACAGGGGAGTACTGGAGATTGAAGCCTGGGGAACTTAACCTCTGAGCCATATCCCCAGCTGTTTTTAAAAATTTTAAATTTTGAAACAGGGTCTTGCTAAGTTGCTGAGGCTGGCCTTGGATTTGCAATCCTCTTGCCTCAGCCTCCTGAATCTCTGGGATTACAGCATGCACCATCATGCCCACCTACCTTACTTTTAATATTAGGATAATAGTAATTATAATATCAATTTTATCGGGTTGCTGAAGGATTAAATGGTAGTTTGTGTGGATTAATTAAGGTATTCTAAACTGCTGTAATAAGTAATACTCTTTCCTGTCCCCAAACAATGGTTCAAACCAGATGGAAGTTTCTTTTTTACTCAAGTAGCAGTCTGGGAGGGTATTGTAGATGTTGGAGTGGCTTTACTCCTCTGAGTCATTTAGGGACCAAGCCCCTGCTCTCCCAGCACCATCCTCTTCTGACTTGTCAAAGCTGGTGACCGAAGTTCTGGTTACCATCAGTGAGAGGTGGAGAATATGGAGGAAGCACATCTTAAGTGCCCCAGCCAGAAGTCTTTATCTGTAATTTCCTATCACACGGCTTTATCTAATTGCAAAGGAGGCTGGGAAGTGTGGTGGCCATGTACCTACCACACACTAGGGAAAGAATTAAGAAGAGTGCTCGGCACATAGTAAAGTTTTTGTCACTGATTATACTATATTGTTATTTTGGGCACTG